TTCTTTCTTTCTTTCTTTCTTCTTCTTCTTCTTCTTCTTCTTCTTCTTCTTCTTCTTCTTCTTCTTCTTCTTCTTCTTCTTCTTCTTTCTTCTTCTTCTTTCTTCTTTCTTCTTTCTTCTTTCTTCTTCTTCTTGCTGGGACAAATACCCAACACTCAAAATGAGGGAAGGAAAGGTTTATTTAGTACACAGTTACTTGAGGTTTCAAGACCCTGGAGGAGAGGCTGGGGCGCTGCCGTGTCCAAGATGACCCTCCCCACCTCTCAGAGAAAGCACAGGCTCGCCAGGTTCGCACCTCTCTAGCCCCGCCCCTCAAGCCACTTGTTGCTTCTCCAGCCATGTCTGTTCCATAATTTACATGAGGTTTTGGGGGGACAAGTAGACACAAACCATAACAACATCCCTTTTTAAAAAACATTTTTCCACCTTGGTCATCTACTTTGGCCTTCATTATCAGTGAAGTTCTTCAGAAGATTTAGGAATAGGAAGATTATAAGCTTTGAAATTAGGCTAACTGGGGTTGAAAGTTGACTGCTGTTTTCTAAATGTAGGACCTAGTGATTTGATCTTTTATAGGCTGTTTTTAAAAATTTTTATTTGTATTTACTTTATGCTTAATTTATTTCCATGCCATTAGCTTTTGTTTCTTCAGGGATATCTTTTTCTTCTGTGCAACTTCCTCCTCTGGTCTAGGAGCAGTTTGTTCCTTTTCAGTAAGGATCATCTCAGTGTGGCAGGGGGAGCTCTGCCATTATGCCATTAATGTATGCCATTAACGTATGGATTAATCCAGCCATGAGCCTATAAGTACGGCGGTGCATCTTGGGTGCTTTGTTCACCTGAATATGTTCAATCACCAGAGAATCTACATCTAAACCCTTCAGCTCAGCATTACTCTCTGCATTTTTAAGCGTGTGCAGCAAAAATTCAGCACTCTTTTTGGGCCAGCGACCCTGTGTCCAACCCCACTGTTTGGCCTGGGCACACCTACCAATTCTACCATGATAACACCAGAATGACGTGTTGCTTCTTTAATGTGACATCCTTCAGACACCTGGTGGCCTTTCGGATATGCCTGGGCAGTTTCACATGTGTTCTTAAAGTGAATGCAAAGATTTGAGCCTCTTGATTTGCATGATTTTGTGGGGTTTTCTGGGTCGAGATAGTGGCAAACCGTTTTCATAGGTCACCTCAGGCTGCTCACAGGAAAAACTATAGGCTGGTTTTTAAAGCACTAAAATGGAATATAATACTTATTGCACAAGACTGTTATAGGGAATGCATCTAGTGTAAGTACCTACCATATCATATATATTTCCCTAGTTGTCAGGATACAACTATAATATTCATTAATTTCCTTTTTTACTTCTCATTCTTAAGCATCTTATAAATACATTACTTTTGCAAGTCAAACCACATAAGTTAAAAGGAATAGTGAAAAATAATTATTCCACATAAGTTAAAAGGAATAGTGAAAAAATAAGGAATACCGGACAGGAGGTGAAAGGCTCCCTAGAAATGACTGCATGAGTTTCCACAAATACTTTATCTTTTTTTTATGTTTTATCTTTTTAAAGTGCTCCCTTTTGGGAGGATATTTGTAATATTTGAGAAAAGAGGTAGCATATTTATTCTGATATAGGATAAATGTTTATAAAGTATATTTCTGTTTCAGGCATCTCTTGGAAAGGGGGGAGTTGATCAGCTATAAGGGGATGCAGAAAGGACTTCTCCATCCCCATTCTTTGAAGCCCCAGACACCTGTTATGTGCAGAGAATGAGGCAGGGGAGAATTATAGCACACATACACATATAATTTTTGTTTTTCTATTTATCAGACTATGTCATAAAAGATTTAATTTAATATAAGGCTATAATATATCAGGCTGTAATATAAAGATTTAATTCTCCTAAAAGAGAATATTAACTGTCATTTGATGGATTGAATATATATTTAAATACACTTCATTTTCATATTATGCCAATTAAGATGGAAGAGAGAAACAGAGAGCTTAAGAGAATAGAAGGGAAAGAAAAGAATAAATGGATTTTTTCCAAGAGAACTTAAATCATTTACTGATTAGATATGTTAATACATTATAGACATGCCTCATTCACAATTGTCATTTTACCTGGTACCATTACTCAGTTTAGATACTGTATAGGATGTGCCAAAATCATTGAAAATTTGTTTTAGCATATGTTTGCAGTATATAAAGATTGTGTTCATTGTGGGGAATTGGTATCTGTGCACAACACATCTCAATTCCTTTTTTCTCTTCTCTTCCACCATGTCCCCTTCTTTGCCAGCATCAGATTCATGTATCTTATAAAATCTTTTAAAGTTAAAAATCATAATACAGATAACAACCAGACTAAGAGACCAAAAAACATATAAAGCAATTAACCCAAATCATGCTATGCTTTTAGATATATAATCCATGCTGGGTTACAATAACTAGTTTCATTTTTTTTGTTTTTAACTTGGAGTTTTTCATATAAAAGAAGCCATGCAGTGTTTAAACCTGTGTCTGATTTACTCACTTAACATTATGATTGTAAGGTCCATCTATTTCCATAGAAATGACTCATGCTTAACCTCCTTTATGGCAGAGTTGTACTCCACAGTTTACCCATTCATCCACTGATGGGCGTAGAGGCTGCTTTCAAGATTCAGTTATTATGGGTTGTGATTCATAAACATGTTTATATACTGTAATAGATGTATTTTTAAAATACAAAATGATTTTAATTTGATTTAGCATTCCTTTGGACAATATTATTGATTCAAACTACCAAATATTTCACTAACTCACATATAAATAAGGTCTCTTAACCCCTAGGCTATTTTTCTTAAATATTGGTGGTATAGAATGTTAACATCTACAAGGTAAAATATTGCCCTTGGAAAAAAATATTTTCCTTTTAATTCTTTGGAAAGACATCTAGAAGGAAAATAGCTGGGTCAAATGGAATTTCTATTTAGTTTTTTGAAGAATCTCCTACTGATTTCCATAGTGGTTGTAACAGTTTACATTCCCATCAGTAATAACGAAGGGTTCATTTTTACCTTTGCAGATTCTCTAGTTGTTATTGATTAATTTCTTAGTGATAGCCATTCTTTTTGGAAAAATCTCAGTGTTCTTTCTGTTGTTCTGTTTCATTTTTTGAGCCAGGGTTTCACTATGTAGGCCAGGCTGGCTTTGAACTCACTATGTAGCCCAGGCTGGCCTCAAACTCGCAGAAATCCTCCTGTCTCATCCTCCTGAGTGCTGGGATTACAGGAGTGCACCACCATGCCTGGATGTCAATGTTATTTTAATTTCTAGAATGGTCAGCAATGTTGAGCTTTTTCAATATACTTATTGGCTCTTTGTACTTCTTCATCTGAAGTGTGTTTATTTATTTCAAATGCCCATTCTTTGACTGGATCTTTTAATTTGGAGAGGGGCTAACTTTGGGGAGTTCTTTATATATTCTACATATTAATCATTTGTCTGAGGGGTAGAATTTTTTTCTCACTTTGTACATTTTCTCTTCCACCTGTTGATGGTTTTAACTGCTGTACAGAAGGCTTTTAATTTGATGTGATCTCATGTGTTGATTCTTGGTATTATCTCCTATACAACAAAGATTCTGTTAAAAAAAAAAAGTCTTTGCCTAAAAATTTTAGTTTTTAAAAATTTCAAATCAAATGTGGCATTACCCTGAAGGAATTCTAACTACATATTGCTGAGAATATTTTATCAAAATTACTTCAGAGTACACTAAGTTTATGCACCACATTTGAATTTTTAATTAGTTTTATTGGTACATTTTAGATTTACATAATGATAACATTCGTCAGAGGAAATTTGTACTTACACATGATATATCTTCTCTTTTTTTCTATTCTCCTGTCCCTGCAACCCCTCTCTCCCTCCTTATTTACAAAAACTTTGTTTCTCTTTTTTGTTCTATTTTTTCTTTTTACAGCACATTTTTTAAAAGCTACATTTATCCAGCATCACAATCAGACTTCTATATTTAGCAACCAACAGTGTAGGTGCAAAAAACATCTACAGTAAAATTATTTGCTAGAATGATTTACTCTTTCCATGGAACAGAAACTAAAATAACTTATACAATTAGTCACAAATACAGTTCCAAGCGTTTTCTTTTTTCCCATACACACAATTTTTTATTTATTTATTTATTTATTTTTTAGTATGTCATCTCTGTAGCAGCTATACCCAGCTGCTAATGTTCATGACTGAGGAATAAATCTGTTGTAACCTGTGGCTTCTCTATTATTTTCTGGCTCTCTTCTGTTGAAATTTGTTTGCTGGAAATAATTAAAACATTTAGCAACTGCCAAAGCTACTTTGGAATAGCCCTAGCTACCTTGAGTTTCCAACCTCATAGGGACCAGAGCTCTGCTTCTGAAGTTTCCTCCCTTCATGGATCCAAAATGTGAAGATTATTATATTTATCAAAATCACTGTTGCTTGCAACACTTTCAAAATTGCTTCCATTAGTACCAAATCCATTGTAGGCATTCCCACTGCCATCACATTTGTCACCACTATAGCTGCCACCAAAGCCACCTCAGCCACTGAAGTTTTCTCCATGACCAAAATTCCATTGGCACAAAACCACTTGTACTACCAACAAAGTTCCAGAACTACTTTAATCTCTTTGGGTCGAGAAGCACTAATTATCTCTTACTTCAATAGGGCTTTCCTTACTTCACAATTAGGACCATGAATACGATGGTGTTTCTGAATGGCAGTCTTACTTACAGAGTCAGGGTTGTCAAAGGCTACAAAAGAAAACCCCTCTTCTTTCCTCTGCCTCAGTCATGATTTCAGTGACTTCAATTTCTCCATATTGTTCAAAGTAATCTCATAGATGACTTATTAATCTTCTATAATGCCACCAAAGAGAATCTTCACAGTTAAGAGGGAACCTGCTTTATGCCAGTTTTCTCTTGAGACTGCTCTCTTTGATTCCACAACTGTTCCACTCACCTTATGTGGCATTGCCATCATGGCTGCCACTACCTCCTCCACAATGGCATATGTGGCAAACCCAGAGTCCTGGAGCAGTTGATCTTGATCCCTCATTGTCACATAGTTCATGATGGTCCCCATTGCTCAAAAAGGTTTCTTAGACTTCCATCAGTTGTTGTGAAGCTCGGCCTTCTGATGAAGAGCTGTTCAGGCCTGTTAGGAGATTCTTAGAAGTAATGGAATGGGAAGAGACATGTACAGTGCTTCCTTCAGTAGAAAGGAGGAAGCTAACAAGTGTATCCCTGATTGACTTTCAAGTTAATGGTAGTCAGCTGGAAATTATTTCGTGTACTTGAGGCTGAGTTACCGAATTTCCCTTTTTACTGCAATTTTTAACTGCTTAATCTTAGGTCATCATGAAATAAAACAACTGCAAAATAAAATAAATTTGGAAATAAAATTGACTTGGGTGGCATCCAAGTTGAAGGAATATTGAATTTCTTCAACTTCCTAAAGCCTAGTTGAGTGCTATAAGTCAAACACATATGTCATGTGAAGCTTACTAGTATACAACTTACCAAGCTGATATGATCTGAGGGATACCTAAAATCTTATTTGTTATAACTTTTCTGGTTAGCATTGTTTTTTTCTGTTTCATTTTTATACAGATATATAAACAATCCATGGAAAATCTTTTACCCACTCCCACAAAATCTCATTATACTTTCAACTTGCGTGATTTTTCACGAGTTATCCGGGGTTGTTTACTCATCAAAAGAGATGCTGTAGACAGCAAGCAAACTATGATCCGCCTATTTGTGCATGAGGTTCTCCGAGTGTTTTATGATCGCCTCATTAATGATGATGATCGAAAATGGCTCTTCAAATTAATTAAAACTGTTACAAAGGACCATTTTAAGGAATCATTTGATGGTGTCTTTTCACATTTGAAGAAAGAGAATAAATCAGTGAGTATATTTAGTGATTTAAAATATATCAAGTTAAAACATTAAAATTTCATGAATTGTAACAATTAACACTTTTAAATATCTCATTGCTTTTGAATGGACATATTCCTTTAGCTTTTCTTGAAGAGAGGTATTAATTATAAGATTAGTGTTCAGAGGAATACATGTAACATAGAAGTTTTTAAAGAATGACAGGGATTAAGTGACGTAACAGATTTAAAGTGTATAACTACCTAATGTATAAGAATTACCCAAAATGATTCCCCATTTTCTGAAAAAAACAATCAAAACTTTTATTTCAGAAGAGTGTCTTTTAGTTATTAATTTTACAAGTGTATAATTTTCTACCTTAATGTTTAAAATAATTATCCAACTAATAATCATCTTATAACATGGCTAAAATAAAATTTTACACAGTTAAACATGTATTTTAAGGGACAACATGCTCAGGCCCCTCTCCTGTCCCTCTCTCAGATAGGAGCTTTCTTTCCCCTAATAAATATATCTGCTCAAAAAATGTATTTTAGAAAAAAAATTAGGTTTTGTCATATGTTGATTTTTGCTTTATAGATAACTGAAGAAGACTTAAGAAATCTCATGTTTGGGGATTATATGAATCCTGACCTTGAAGGAGATGAGAGAGTTTATGTTGAAATCACAAATATTTACCTCTTTAATGACATTGTAGATCAGTGCTTAGATGAATATAACCAAACTCACAAAACAAGAATGAATCTCGTCGTGTTCAGGTACCTACATTTGATATTGATGCTTGAAATTGATAAATTTTTACTGTGAAATATTTAAATGTACAAAAAGATAATAAAGAAAAATATGTGGACACCTATCATCATACTAAGATGTAAAACACTTTTACTTACAATTTAATTTTAGTCCCCTGTTGTCCTCAATCCTCCCGCACTGTGTCCTGCATCATAACCTGTAGAAGTAAAAAGAAACTCACATGTTTCTTTGAACTTTTGCTATACATACATATTTTGCTACACATATACGCACAATCTTATTTTGAATGCTTTATTTTCTATTTTTTAAAACAAATTTTATTGTGTGGGCTGGTGAGATGGCTCAGTGGTCTAAAGCACCTACTTAGAACAAGCTTAGCAAAGCACAGGGACCGCCGTTCAATCCCCCAGACCACATGCCAGCCAGCCCCGCCCCCTGGTGGGCTGAGCTGGACACACACACACACACACACACACATAAATAAATAAATAAAATTAAAAAAAAATTATTGTGTATATTGATAGTATGACATCCCATTATAAATGTATATATAATAAGTGGTAAGCATATTTACATGTACAGTGGTACTTCAGTTCACGAACTTAATTCATTCCGTGATTCAGGGGAAGATGGTTGTACTCCTATTCGTCATCCAATGTGGAGTTCATGAACAGAAGCAAAATTCTGCCTAACTTCTTTTTGCAAACCAAATTGTTTGTGAATAGAACAATTATTGTAAACTGTCATGGATAATAAGATTTTTTTGACAGGTATGTCTTGGAACATTTATCAAGAATATGTAGAATTTTGAAGCAGTCTGGTGGAAATGCTTTGCTTGTTGGACTTGGAGGAAGTGGCCGTCAATCTTTAACTCGTCTGGCTACATCCATGGCCAAAATGCAGATTTTCCAGCCAGAAATTTCTAAGAGCTATGGCATGAATGAATGGAGAGATGATATGAAGGTAAAGTTATGAGCGCACCTAGCATCTAAAATGACAATAGTGCATTCTTTTACCTGTAATGGGAGAACAACCTATGGAGCCGTGTACTAGGTGTGTGGGTGGTGAGGACAATGGCATTCACTGAGCACCTAGTATGTGTACTTACTGAAGAGTGTCCTCAGTGCTTTACCAACTTGATCTCATTCTATAGGTGCAATAGGGCAATGCACCAGCTTTGGCCTTCTCTGTGTTTTACACAGATGAAGCCCTGGAAGCTGAGGGAAGTGGTACATGGAAGAGTAAGGCTTTTTAACGGAAGTCATCCTCACTATTAAAACTATTTTATCATAGTTCTGGAGGGGAATGAATTTCAGATAAATACATGATTTCCATCTGATTGGTAAGTATAGATTTCAGGGGCTAGGTATGCTGGTCAGCGCTTCAACGTATGCCTTGCATGGGGAAGGCCCTGGATTTGATCCAGGCACCTCAAAAAAGAGAACCTGATGATGTAGCAAATGTTGTCTTAATAGTTTCTTCAGACCTCTGTTGCTGTCCCATAAACCAATAGAATAGTAAAGCACATATGCAGGCAGGGCTTCACCCTTATGTGTGTAGGGATCTGCAGTGTCCTAGAGAGACTCCGGTAAAGAGATCATTCAAAGTGAAAAAGAAGGAAAATACTGCATTCATCTTCTCTAGCACTTACACACTAAAGTTTTGCATCCTAAAAATTAGCATAACGAAATTTGTTGTTGTTGTTTTGTTTTCTTGGCTATTTAAAGGAAGGAATGGTAGAATCCAAGCAACTACCAAAGAGGTCCACATAAACATGAAAGGAAAAGAAAATATTACCTTTTCTTTTTCTGGAAACAGTGTCTTGCTATATGATATGGGCTGATGTAGCCCAGGCTGGCCTCGAACTTGTAGCGATCTGCCTGTCTCAGCCTCCCAATTGCTGGGATTATAGGCATGTAGCACCATACCTGGTGAAAATAGTAATTTATGCCCTTTCCTTTTCTGATCATACTATACAGGAAAATTTTTGATTTACTTATTTTTTTAATATTTATTTATGTGTGTGTGTGTGTGTGTGTGTGTGTGTGTGTGTCCAGCTCAGCCCACCAGGGGGCGGGGCTGGCTGGCATGTGGTGCTGGGGGATTGAACCGCGGTCCCTGTGCTTTGCTAAGCTTGTTCTAAGTAGTTGCTTTAGACCACTGAGCCATCTCACCAGCCCATGTGGTACATCATGCACCAACTTTGGTTTTTTGGTTTTTTTGCAGAACCAGGGTTTGAACTTAGGCCCTTGCGCTTGCCAGGGAAGCGCTTATTCCTCTGAGCCATCTTCCTGGCCCTTTTGATTTACTTATAAATAAACTAGTAGATTTAGAAATCAGCATACTTCATGTACCACTTCATAGTAGCAAAAAACATAACATGGACTTTTTTTTAGGGGTGTGTGTGTGTGTGTGTGTGTGTGCAGGGTCTCACTATGCAGCTCAGACTCATAGTGATCCTCCTGCTTTCAGCCTCCCTAGTGCTGGGATTATAGGCGTGCACCACCACGCCTAGACTCCATTGCTGGCTCAGCGTGCCCAGGAGGTGGGGTCAGTGCAGCATGTGGTACCAGGGATTGAACTCTGGCCGCTGCACTTGCCTAAGCAAGCGCTTAGTCCATTGAACTATCTCACTGGCCCAGGACTTTTTTTAAGAACATGGACTTTGAGGTCAGACATATGTCTTAATTTCTAATCTAGGTAAAGTTTTGTTAATGTTACTATTTTTTAAAAATCTCAGTTAAATTGATTTTTAGCATTTTTTTTTATTGTCATTTATTTGTCAATTATCTTATTTGGGCATATTACTAAGTCTTTCTGTGTTGTTTGTTATGTGAACTTATTTATTTCTTCTGTGCCATTGATTGTAATGAACTCTCATTTCTCATTTTAGTCACTGAGTCTTCTCTTTTTCTCTGGTTAATCTAGCTAAAGTTTTGTTAATGTTGTTAATACTTTTTAAAATCTCAGTTAAATTGATTTTTTTAATTTATTTTTTATCCTCTCATTTATCTCTGCTGGGCATGGTGATGCACACCTGTAATCCCAGTGCTGGGGAGGCTGAAACAGGAGGATTACTACAAGTCCGAGCTGCATAGTGAGACCCTGTACCAAATACATTTTTAAAAAGATATAGCATTCTGTTGCCAATGTGAGAGCTATCTTCTTTTTTAATATAAATGTTTGTAGCAGTAAGCTTTTCTTGTAGCCTTGCTTTTGCTATAAAACATTAGTTTTGGTATGCAGTATTTTTGTTTTCATTTGTCTTAAAATATTTTCAGATTTTCCTTGTGACTTTTTTTTCCTGGCCCAGTAAGTATTTAGTAATGTGCTGTTTAATTTTCATGTATTTGTGGATTTCCTAATTTTCCTCTAGTGTTGAGTTCTAGTTTTGTTTCACTGTGACTGGAAGAGACACTATAATTTCAGCTTTTAAAAATTTAAGACTTGTTTTATAGCTAACCATGTGCTCTGTACTACAGAAGATTTCATGTGCAACTTATTTTGAATTTAAGAAGAATGTGTACTCTGCTGATGATGGGTGGGATTTTCTGCATGTTATCTGTTAGGCCCAACTGGTTTATGGCGTTGAGTAATAATTCTGTCTTGTATTCTCTTGAAATATTGGTGTTGAAGTCTCTTATTCTCACTATGTTGTCAAAGTTTCTTCATGTATTTAGGAAGTTTTGACTCATAAATATTTATAATGTTCTATCTTTCCAATGAATTGATCTCTCATTTTTGTGATACTAGTGGAGATTGAACATTAAACCCAGGACCTGGGCTACGTGCTCAGAACTTTTTTGTTTTGTTGTTTAAATTTTTTGACATGGGGTCTCAGCAAATTAATAAGTTACCCAGACTGGACTCAAACTTGCATTCCTCTTGTGTTTGCCTTTCCAGACTGCTGGAATTAAGGCACACAGTACCACTCCTAGCAATGACTTTTTTTCCCCCATTACTGGGGATTGAACCCAGGGACTTGTATATACTAGCCAGTGACTCTACTACTGAGTTATACCACCAGCACTGTGAATTGATTCTTTTATCAAATATATGTCTTTGTGTTTGTCTTGTTTCTTTGGCAGGAGTTGCCAGGAATCAAACTCAGAACCTCAGTGTTGCCAGGCATGCATTCCACCTGCTCCTTTGCCTCATTCATTTTATTTTATTTTTTTGCGGAACCGGGATTGAACTCAGGCCCTTGCGCTTGCCAGGCAAGCGTTTATTCTACTGAACTATCTCCCTAGCCCCACCTCATTCATTTTAAATTACTTACCTTCAGGTTAGCTGAACTTTTACTGCCTGATCAATTTTAATGTTGAATCCTTTAGAGAATTATTGTACTTTTTCGGCTGTACAGGGTTATTTGGTTATATTTTCTTTCTTTCTTTCTTTTTGGTGGAACCGGGGATTGAACTCAGGCCCTTGCACTTGCCAGGCAAGTGCTTATTCCACTGAGCCATCTCCCCGGCCCCCCTCTTTCTTTCTTTCAGTATAACATTCAATGTATTATTTCTTTCTCAAGATAGTTTCCTTCAGTTCATTAAGACCCAGCTCCCCTTCCATGGACTTTGGTGGAGGTCATGGGGCAGCACCAGTAGGTGTAAAGCCAGGTGGAGGAGTTCCATCCTTGCGGGCTTCACAAGATCGATTCCTGACCACTGTGCTGTGAATGGCACAACTCACACAGTAATGCAGCTTCACATACAGCTTGGAAGCATATAGCCATCAAAGACACTGACTTCGAAAATGCCCCTGACGGTGGTGGCCTCCACAGTGTTCCAAAAGACAAATGTCTTCATGGCCTTGTCCTTGAGTACTTACCGGGTGCAGTTTGTGCTGCGAATAGGCTGCACATGACTGCGGCCCTTTTGGGCACAACCATTGCTCGCTCGTTCTTTCTTTCTTTCTTTCTTTCTTTCTTTCTTTCTTTCTTTCTTTCTTTCTTTCTTTCTTTCTTTCTTTTTCTGTCATCTTGAAAGGGAGGACCTGAAAGAGGCTATATTTTATTTTATTTTTTTGTTGATATTCTCATGTTTTCCTAGTTTAGTTTAATTGTCTGCTTATGGCTACTTTGGGCTCATTGAGCACCCTTAAAGCAAATATTTTAAGGCCTTTTATCAGATATTTCATAGATCTTCATAGATCTTCCTGTGGTTTATTTCTGGACTTTTATCTTGTTTCTTTGGTTGGACTATGTTTCTGTGTTTCTTTACACACTATGTTGAGATTTGGGCATTTGAAACAGGAGCTACTTCTACTCTTTGCAACTGGCCTTCATGCAGTTGCATGAAAGACCTTCATCAATCCACCGGGTCAGAGAACTGAGACCTCGCAAACCTTTTCTTGGGACTTACCTTCTTTGTGGTTTTGTGTATGCTTTTATTCTAATCAATAGAGAAGCTTTTATCTTTGCTATTTTCTGGAACCCTTTTTAAAAAAATCTCTGTCACAATCCTTTCTCTCTCTTTTTTAAAAAAATATTTATGTATTTGGCACAGGGTCTCACTACATAAATCGGACTCCTAGTGATCCTGTTTTCAACCTGCCAAGTTCTGGGATTACAAGTGTGTGTCACCATGCCTGGTCTTGGTGGCGGGCTCAGCACGCCCAGAGACAGGGCCAGCAGGGCATGTGGTGCTGGGAATTGAACCCCAGTCGCTGTACTTCCCTAAACAGGTGCTTAGTCCATGAAGTTATCTTGCCAGCCCTAATCCTGTGCTTTTACTCTCTCTAGCTTCTTCCCTGCTCTCTTCCTGTGGAACTGCAGAGTTCCTGAAATAGCACTATAATTAGGTGCTAAATCACATGCCGCCTTCTGAACCAATGGTTTTGTTTTGGGACTTGGAAAAACCAAACAGTTTGTATCTTTCATGTAAGGGACAGGGGAAATAGACCTTAAGTGATAGCCCCACCAGAATCAAAGTAACCTTCAAGAAAAGTATTGTCAAAGAAAGGGAAAGGAAAAGAAAGAAAAACCAACAGAAGTCTACCACATTCTGCTTATAACATTTTTACTTTAAGGGTCTGTTGAAAAATGTGGGTGTGCGAGGCCAGAAGACAGTCTTTCTCATCACAGACACTCAGATTAAAGAGGAAGCTTTTCTAGAAGATATTGACAGTGTGCTCAATACTGGAGAAGTGCCTAACATTTTTGCAGCAGATGAAAAACAGGAAGTGATGGAGGTAAATGCTTTTGTGGAAGCGCCCTTCTCAGCAGAGGAATTTTCTTATTTTAAAGCTATTTCTCTACTATTCAGGATAAATGTTGCTTGTACAGTTGTTCATGTTTACTTCATTTGGTGTCAGTCCTGGGGAATTGTATTTTTTATCTACTTTTGCAAGACTGAGCATTGAAGAATCCAGGGTCTTGTGCATGCTAGGCAAGTGCCCTACCACTGAGTTATATCCACAGCCTCCTTAGAAAGGTTATATTTTTTGTATATGTGTGGTTCTGGAAATTGAATTCAAGGTTCTGGCAATGAGCTCTATCAAGAGCCTTTTTATAGTTTTACAGTTTGATATGAGGCCTTGCTAAGTCACTAAATGGCCTAGGCTGGGCTCTAACATGTGGCCCTCCTGCCTCAGCCTCCCAGAGTACTGGAATTGCTGGTATGCACTGCCATGCTCAGCTTGTGTAATGCTAGTTTAAATTCATCATAATTTGGGGTTAATTTTTTTCTCCTTCTAAAACACAGGCTATGAATTAGTAATGTGTTATTGAGGGCTTTTTAAGTGTTCACACTAATAAATCTTTTATTTTGTTGGGTTTGCAGAAACAACTTGATTATGAGACAGAATTTTTATTTTATAACTCCTATTTTCATCATAATGGCAGCTTGTTTTTCCTGTTTGGTAATATTTAGTATGTTTTATAAAGTATAAAGAAAATTTTAAAACATTTAAGTTGATATAAAAAATAACATTAATGCTAATTGATTAGCCTATGATTTATATCACTGGTTGGCAAATTTGTCAAGTCTTAAGACTTGGGAGGCTCAAGTCTCACACTTGGGAGGTTCGTTCTCTGCCTCCACTCCGACTGTTGCGGGGAGGTGACTTATCTTGGCAGGCACCCTGCTTTTGCCTTCCGTGGGCCAAGCGCACATGTAATAGTTCCTCCTGTGTAGGGTGGCTGTGAGATACATGAACCAAACCTCACAGTAAACCACTTGGGTCGCACTCGCAAGCCCACAGTCAGTGGTGCACTACCAGTTCATGGCCTGCGTTGGGGAAGCTGAATGACATTTTGCTTTTGGGAGAGATGTCAAGAATGTGGCAAAACTACGAATGAATGGTGACTTTTCTAATTTGTAGGGGAAATTTAGCCTTAACAATACCATGCAGAGTAGTCCCTAGCTTTTCGGCTCACTTTATCTGTTGTTTGTCTTTTGTTTCCTATAATTTTTGCTAAGTTTTTCCATTGCATCACTATTTCCATTTTACACTAGTATATTTTATATACAGCTATGTGGGTTTTTTTTTGTGTGTGTGATGGGGTCTCTCCGTGTTCCTCAAGCTGCCTCCAAATCCTGTGCTCAGGCCACCCTGCCCCTGTTCTCTCAGTAGCTGGGGCTCTAGATACACACCACAACCCCCAGTTAGCACCTGTGTGCTCTAAAATGTAACAAAGACCACATGCTACACACTGTGGTATAACTTTTTTGTTCCTTACAGAAGGACATTTTAGTGTTTCTTTCCTCTTAAACACAATATTGAGTTATAGACCTGTACTCAAGCTGATAAGCTTTTACGATTATATTTATAAGGCAAATGCTAGGTAAGCATTTATTTTCAAAGTGTAGAATTATAGTTAGAAGAGATTATGTAAGGAAAATGATATCAAAGCCATTGTATTGATGTAAAAACAAAATTTTAAAGATATTTATGAGAAGCAATAGAATTTTATGTTTTAGTGTTCACTAAACTCATCAACCAACCTATTTCATTTATACAGTCTTTATTTTTTATATTTTTTAGGGTGTTCGCCCAGTAGCTCAGGCTGGCAATAAGCATGATGAGCTCAGTCCTTTAGCTCTGTTTGCTTTCTTTGTGAATCGCTGCAAAGATAACCTTCATGTTGTAGTGGCCTTTAGCCCCATTGGAGATGCCTTTCGAAATCGGTTGAGACAGTTCCCATCTCTCATCAACTGCTGTACCATTGACTGGTTTCAGGTTTGTAAACTTGGGAGGTAGCAGCTAACTCTTGGAACTGCCTTCATTAAGCTCAATAATATACATTGAACAAGTGATTCTTGATTCGTTACTATAGTGACAGGCAGAGTGTTCAACACCAGGTACAGGTAAGACTGTATGTTCTGCACAAGGATTCTGTACTCTTAAGACATAAATGGCAACCAGCAAGGGGCTACGGAAATAGCTCAGTGGCCTAAGCACCGGCCTTGCAAGCCCAAGGACTAGGTTCAATCCCTAGCACTTCATGCTGTGCCGGCCCCGCCTCCGAGCTGCAGAGTGAGACCCTGTACAAAAGGCAACCAGCAGTCAAAATTATATAAAAGAGTCATAATGTTGGTGTAGAAAAGGCATATATACAGAGATAGTAAATTTCTGAAATATGAAAATGACTTAGATATCCAAAGGGCAGTATAAAAAAGCAACAGGAAAATCTTAAATATGTTTATAAAATATATAGTCACATCCATATTAATCTTATATGTGTTTAATTTAAATTAATTTCTGGTAATTTTTATTGACTTTTGCCTATTATAAATTTCACATTTGATAACAGTTTTTCCCTTTTAAGATTTATATATAAATATATTTATTATTCATTTAACTTTTTTGCAGTACTGGGGGTTGAACGTAGGGCTTCACATTAAGCTACATCCCCAGACTTTGTTAATTTTTATTTTGAGACAGAGTCTTCTTAAATCATTAAATTGCCCAAGCTGGGCTCAAACTTGCAATCCTGATTTAGCCTCCCAGAGTGCTTGGATTACAGGTGTGCACCACCACACCTGGCACATATACCAGCTTATTTGTTATGAAGAATTGGCACATGTGATTATGGAGCGACAAGTATTAAACCTGCAGGCCATGGAGATAGCTCAGTGGTATAAGCGCCTGCTTGGCAAGCACAAGGTTCCAAGTTTGATCCCTGGTACCAGAAAAAAGAAAAAGAAAAAACCTAAATGATTGAAAATTAAGCACTTGAGGGGCCGAGGGGATAGCTCAGTAGAATAAGTGCTTCCTGGCAAGCACAAGGGCCTGAGTTCAATCCCCATTTCCACCAAAAAAATAAATAAATAATTTTTTAAAAAAATTAAGCGCTTGAGATGTGTGGTCAGCAACGATGAAGCCCAGGAGAACCAATGGCTTAGTTCCAGCCTGAAGGTCATCAGGGTCAAGGAGAGCAGATGTTTCACTTCATGTTTGAAGTCAGCAGTAACATCAGTGTCTCAGCTTAAAGGCAGGTAGACAGGAGGAGTTCCCCCTTACTTTTTTTTTTCTTTTCTTGGAAGAGAGTCAACATTTTTGTTCAATTCAGGCTTTTCACTGATTGGATGAATATTCACTTATGGTAGCATGAGAGCTACTCTTGGTTACCTGTGCAGCACCCATTTTCTACCAACTCTCTCTTTTTTTTTTTTTTTTGTGGAACCGGGAATTGAACTCAGGTCTTTGTGCTTGTCAGGCAAGCACTTATTGTACTGAGCCATTTCCCCAGCCCTCTACCAACTCTTGATGAGAGAATTCTGATTTTTTTTTTTTAGATAAATCACAGGAATTTAATCATGGGGTCTAGTCATTTTTGGAGCTTTTACCCTTCTTGTTAGTATGGTTTTACATGAGCCTGTGCATGAGTCACTTCTTGCCAAGGTCTTCCCTGGCCAAGTTTGCTGGGGGTCTTTGGGGAAAGTTTCTTTCAGTGTAAAAAGAGTTGAATGGTAGCTCAAGGACTGTGTGTCCAAACTCTGTTACTTGAGGATGTGGTTCCTATAGCTATGACTCTTGTTTTGTCATCACAATGGGACAAGCACAAGGAAGAAATAAAGTGCACTGAGAGCGATGGAGAAAAGGTAGGAAAGAATCTGGATCTTCAGGGCTGGCCAAATAGTTCAGCGGATTAAAGAGCCTGCAAGCAGGCGCAGGCGCAGGCACAGGCGCAGGGGCTGGGATTCGATCCCTGGGTCTGCTGTGCTGGCCCCGCCCCCAGGGTGCACTGAGAGAGCAATGGAGACTGGGTGTGGTGGCATGCACCTGTAAGTCCAGCTTTTGGGAAGCTGTAAACAGGCAGATCACTACTAGTCTGATCTAGTAGTGAGACCCTGAACACCTTGTAGACCCTTCCCTAAAATACAAAAAAAAAAAAAAAAAAAAAAAAAGAATCTGGATCATCAGTGACATGGATGAGTTTATAAAATCAAGGAACCCTGTAGCTACCCTAGATTTATCCTGTAAGATTATACATCTTTTTTTGTATCTTATGAGAGAGAGAGAGAGAGAGAGAGAGAGAGAGAGAGAGAGAGAGAAATGCAGTCTATCCCCCTCCCTCCCTCCTTCCCTCCCTCTCCCTGAGACATAGTCTCACCATGTAATCCACAATGGCCTTGAACACACTATGTAGCCCAAGCTGACTCAAACTTGCAGCAATTCTCCTGCCTCAGCTTCCTGAGTGCTGGGATTTCACTAGTAAGCCACCATGCCCAGCTATCTAGGAATATTTCTATTACAAAATCAAATTGGAGTCCTAAAGAAAAAGGGACTAATGGATATGTTGGGCAGATAACCACCAGTAGCATCTTCTGCCACTGACATACTAAGTTTGGTATGCCTAACAGTTGTCCAAGTGGAAGAATTGGGAAAGCAGTGTAATATATCTTTGACAAGTAACCTTTCCTTTATAATATGTTATCCCTAATTTTCATCTTAATGTTTTAAAATACTAGGGTTTTTTGTAGATCTAATATATTGTGACTTCAGTCATCTGAATTCTGTTTTCTCCATTAATGATTTAATTTTCTCAACCCTAAATTCTTCCCCCATAAGAAGTCACTTGTATAATTGGATTGGGACTACTTGTAGTAAATTTCTTTTTAAAAATGTATTTGGCACAGGGTCTCACTACGCAGATCGGACTCAATCTGTCTCAGCCTCCCCAGTGGTGGGATTACAGGTGTGCACCACCTCACCCGGACTTGGTGGTCTGCTCAGTGTGCCCAGGTGTGGGGCCAGTGCAGCATGCGATGCTACCCCAGTCCCTGTGCTTTCCTAAGCAGGTGCTTAGTTCGCTGAGCTATCTCATTGCCCATAAGTTTCATAAATTGTTCTTTTTTGCATTTTTAGCCATGGCCTGAAGATGCACTTGAACTTGTAGCAGTAAAATTCTTAGAAACACTGGAGCTTACTGAGGTTGAACGACAAGAGGTCATTCCAGTCTGTAAACACTTCCACACCTCCATCATGGATCTTTCGGACAGGTGACTAATAAGTTTTAAAATTACATTAATGCCCTATATTTTAAATCATCTCTTTCTGTGCAAGTCCCCAAATTTAATATGACATTATGTCTTCTTAATCTTTCTCATCATTTATTTAGTTAAGATCTTCAGCCTAGAGGCAATGGAAATCTACTTGGTCTAGATTTAACAAAAGAGGGAATTTAATATAAAGATACTTTGATGTTAACAAAGATTAAGGCAAAGAATGCAGCTCAAGCTCAGCAGTGACCAGAAGCAGGAGTTACAATGCCATCAGGAACCCAGAAATGCTTTTTCTGTTTTTCATCTCTCCTTTTTCCTAGGTATCTGCTCATATTTTCTCTTTGCAGACTGAATTTTATGCTTCCTAGTGCATTTGGAGCAAGCTAGATGCCTCCTAGCTTTTGTTTTTACTCCTTCAATTTCAAATGCAGGCACTGACAAACTATTTCTAGCTCCCTACTCCAGATTTACTCCAAAATATGATTAGCCTTGTTTGTGTCCAATACTCAGCTGTAGTATGATCAGTTGTGGTTAAAACTAGCAAGTTTCAGCTGGAGCTGCTGGCATATGCCTGCAATCCCAGCATCTTGGGAGGCTGAGACAGGAAGATTCCAAGTTCAAGCCCAGCTTGGGCAACTGAGTAAGACCTTGTCTCAAAATTTTAAAAATGTGCTACTAAGGACAATAGCTGAGTGTGAAGGTCCTATGTTTAACACCAGGACCTATGGCCAAATAGCTCAGTGGACTAAAGCACCTGCTTAGGCAGGGGCAGCGACTGGGGTTTGATCCCCCATGTGCCATGCTGGCCCCACCCCCAGGGCGTGCTGAGCTGGTGACTGAGCCTGGGTGTAGTGGTGCGCGCCAGTAATCCCAGCACTTGGGAGGCTGAAAACAGGAGAATCACTATGAGTCTGGTCCGATCTACATAGCAAGACCTGTATATCTTGTAGACCCTGTCCTAAATTCATAAAAAAAACAAAACAAAAAAACCCCCACAAGAACCACTTCCAAGCAGTAGGTTTTATAGATCAAACGTTGCTACTGAGGCACTGGGTGGTGATTCACAGGGGAAGCAGATTCATTGGGTATAGATGCCTCTAAAGCCTGCATTCTAATTTTTTTTTTT